AAGAATGCTTGTAAAGAATGCTAGAGATGTGCATAGTACAGGTGAGTATTATAAAAGAATCTGGCAATAAACCTCAGTCCTGGGACTTGCAATATCTTAGGGATTCCAACCCTGAGTTTTCCTTTGAGCAGATAATACTATGTGTGTTAAATTGTGCGATATATTGAAAAGCTTTGCAAAATGGGGCTTTATGGTCAAGCTACCAAGGTAATTTGCACTTGTAACCTAAGATAGGATTGGATTTAGGTGGAAGGAAGGAAAGTTGGTGCACTAACCCAGCAGGTTCCTGGTTTAAGTCAATGGGAACTGAGGGCTATTGGACTCTTGTAGGATCCAGGCCCTGTTCCCAGTAAACGATGCATTTAAAATCAGTCTGTTCTGTTTTTACTTTTCTGTAGTTCCTGACGGCTTTTTAACCAGTGCGAAACCACAGAATTATAGTTACTCTGCCTCTGAAACAACATACTGTGTGTGCAAACTGGACTTATTATTTTTAGGCACGTCTTTCAATTTTTATGAAATTTCATATTTTAACTCTTTGCTGGTAGCCAGAAGTCTGCTACCTCTGCCAGAAGCACTGAGAGGAAATCAATTTCTATAACTCATGAGGCCACAGAAGCAAAAGACATGATGAAAATTGATTGTTGATTCTTGAAAACTTTCCAACAACTCTTAAAGGGCGAAATTGGCTCCATGCGGAGCCAACACACAGACTTTACAGGGGATGGATCACTTGATGATTACCTGTTCTGTTCATTCCTTCTGGGGCACCTGGCATTGGCCACTGTCGGAAGACAGGATACTGGGCTAGATGGACCTTTGGTCTGACCCAGTATGGCCGTTCTTATGTTCTTATGATACACTATGTAAACCCAACTTAAGCCCCCAAAGTAGGATTTAAGTTGTGCACTGCCCTTCAGTTCCCCCTCTGTACATCTGTAGGGTTCAGCTCCATTCAAAGAAAGATGCAGCAAACAGCTCTAGCATCTCTATTAGAATGAGTCCAGTCTGCATTTTATCCTGGATAAAATAAAAAGTGAGTAAAATATAATTAGCCTGATGATAAATCTATACTATCCTAAGAGATGTAGGTTACCAATAATAGAGCTCACAATGGAATACTAATATATTAGTGTGAGAATTAAACCTACAGTATGTTTCAATAAGACATGTCCAAAGAGATGATGTGAGAAACACAGGCTGGCACTGCTGGAATCCAGGATATGTTCCTCTTGGAGACAGAATGCAACTCAACACACACTTGATTAAAAGTATATTGAAAATCTCACGATTCCAATGCTTCGCTGTTTGGCCAGATGCCCCAAAGAACAAACATTTGCAGTGAAAAGAGGTTTGCAAATAGTTACCTTAATTGTCCTTTCTAGCCACGTTCCCTCTGCTTTTATTTTAATTCCTGGATAAATATTTACGGTTTATCTACATTTAGGTGGACTTGCTGCTGTGAAATGCATCCTGTCAGCCTGTTAACAACATTTCTAGGAATCAAGCATTTTGAGGTTCGAAATATAAAACTCTACACTGGGATAAATGTGTGAGATCTCATTATTTTATGGCTGAATCTATAACACCTGGACAATAATGCTTTACAATAGGTGAGCCGAGACAATAGTTCTGATAACGATGCTCAGACACACCCCGTGTTTGAAGTGCATGAAGGTTAACTATCTCGAGTTCTACTTTAAGAGAAAGCAGCTTGAGATTTATCCTGTTGATTTGCAGCCTATTCATGATCTTTAAAACTGCAAAGTTGCAGGTACCAGCATCAATAGCGCTGAACCACGCTCCAAAACTAACGTTCCCATCTTGCGTATAATGCAAACTGCTTGTTTTCTGCTGGGTGGTTTGATTTTGCAGCAGGTACCTGATCAGCACATTTGAAATGCGTGGGTATTTCATTCAAATCTGTATTAGTGACAGATCTGAGAACAAAATTCCCTCCAGCAGAAACATGCCCTTTCTGTTGAAGGAAGGAGGTGTTTCTGCCAGTGCAGGGCTAGACACTTCAATTGACTTAATAAGTCAGCAAAATCCTGAATTCAGCAAGTGACCTTGTGGGGCGTGTGAGTGTGTATGCCTCTAGCACACTGCCACAGCTTATACTTGAAACAATCTGTTGTGCTTCACAGGCCACAAGCACTGCCAGATGAGCCAAAGGAGAGATGAGATAACCACCCAGAAGTTGGATGCTGCTCTTTGCATCTGTAAGGAAGAGAAAGGATGATCCAGGAGTTAAGCTGCTAGCCTGCGACTCAGGAGACCTAAGGGACCTAAGCACCTGCTTTGGTTAGTTCATACGTTTGGACACAAATACATTGCTCAGACAACTACTTTCTGCAAAATGCAAAACCCCTAAGCTTGGCTCATCTTGTCTGTAGGAAGAACAGAAGTACTTGTGGCACCTTAGAGACTAACAAATTTATTAGAGCATAAGCTTTCGGGGTAACTGTCCGGAAATGGAAAGTACAAATATGTGCCTGTGGAATCAATATTTTTGATTGTCTCATCTCATTTTTTTTTGTTGATATTAACACACTAAACTAAATTATTTGCATTGGGATTGAGCATGGTGGAGCTAATGATTGATCATGAATAATTTATTTGAGAAATGTAGCCTATTTTTATTTTCGTGAATTGTGCACAAGCCGCTTACAATTTCCTCAGTTCTATTCATTATTCAAAATTATTTGACAAATAATTTCTGGGAGTAATCCTTGGTCTGCAGAGTGCCTCTGAGCCATCTATTATAGTTGTTATCCAAAATCGAGCTCTCTCAAGTTTTTATATAGCACTGGTCATTGTGCTAGCTAGCTGCCAGAGTGTCTAGGAATTATGTTGCTTAGTTTTGACTCAACATGCCATCTGTTTCCTGTTTGGACGAGGGTACCACAGAATCAGGTTTCTAATGCTAACACTTGCATTTACAAACTTTAAAATTCCCTTGCTACAAAGATCCTCCAATACGTGCTTAAATTTACTTCATTTTTTTTCAGTTAAAAATCCTTCCAGTCATTGGGCCAGGTCCTCAGCTGGTATTATTTTGCCCCAGCTCCACTGACTTCAGTAGAAATACCCCACGTGGGCATATGGTCCTTTCATTATGATATTTACAGAATGTGAACACAAAAGGGAAACAAACAGGAAAAGAGAATTCAATTCATTAAGCAAATATTCACAAAAACTAAGGAGTCAAATGTTGGAAATATTTGGAGATTTCTGTAAAACAAAGGCTATAGCAATCCAAAGATTCATGTGAGCAGCCTTCTGTGCCCACATGGCATCTGGGGGTCATTGTGGGAAGACGCTTGCACTTGCCCTGAACTAGAGCTCGTCAGAATTTTGTGGTTGAAACATTTTGTGCGAAAACGAAGCTGTTTTCATCAAAACTGAAATGTTTTTAAAAATGTCAAATTTGACAAAATTTTGTTTAGAAAAAGTTCCAAAATGAAGTGTTTTGATATTTTCCAAAAGGAATGTTTAAATTTTGTTTTGAAACAACTTTTTGAAATGAACTTCATTGTTTTTATATAAAAAAAAGTTTTAAAAGGTTGAAAATGGAACAAAGTATCTAGATTTTACCTAAACAAAATGTTTTAATCTACTCAAAATGTTTTTTTTCTGAATTGTGTTTCAGGAGAAATTTCAATTTTTTTTTTTTGGCTTTATTCCATTTTGGAATGGAAAAAAAATGGAGACTGTGGAATTTCCTGGGAAATCGAAAATCCTGTCGCTGCCCAGCTCTACACAGAGCAGCAAGCTTCATGCAGGCACAAGGGTCTGCCTGTGACAATCTGATTGCCGGATTGGGGCCTTAGACATAATTCTACCTATTTGTTCAATTTCATAGTGTCATAGAAATGTAGGACTGGACATGACCTTGAGAGGTCATTGTCCAGCCCCCTGCGCTGAGGCAGGACTAAGGAAACCTAGGCCATGCCTGTCAGATGTTTGTCCAATCTGTTCTTAAAATCTTCTAATGACAGGGATTCCTTTGGAAGCCTATTCCAGTGCTTAACTATCCTTATAGTTAGAAAGCTTTTCATAGTATCTAACCTAAATCTACCTTGATGCAGATTTAGCTGATCGGTACTTGTCCTACCCTCCATGGACATGGAAAACAACTGACCACCATCCTCTTTATCACAGCCTTTAAAATATTTGAAGACTGTTACCAGGTTCCCCCCAGTCTTCTTTTCTCAGGACTAAACCTGACCAGTTTTGTTTGTTTGTTTGTCTGTTTAAGCTTTTCCTCACAGGTCAGGTTTTCTAAACCTTTTATTGTTTTTGTTGCTCTCCTTTGGATTCTCTCTAATTTGACCACACCTTTCCCAAGTGTGGCACCTAGGAGTGGTTACAATGCTCCAACTGAGGCCTGACCAGTGCCAAGCAGAGCAGGACAGTTACCTTCTGTGTCTTACCTACAACACTCCTGTTAATACACCCCAGGATAAGATTACTTTTTCACAACTGCATCGCATTGTTGACTCGTATTCAATGTGTGATCCATTATAACCCCAGACCTTTTTTAGCCGTACTACTGCCTAGTTCACCATTTTGTATCTGTGCATTTAATTTTTTTTTCCTAAGTGTAGTACTTTGCATGTGTCTTTATTGAATTTCACCTTGTTTATTTCAGACCAATTTGTCAAGGTCATTTTGAATTCTAATCCTGTCCTTCTGAGCGCTAGCAACCCCTCCCTGGTTAGTGACATCTGCAAATTTTAAAAGTATCCTTTGCATTCCATTATCCAAGGTATTAATGAAAATATTGAACAGTACTGGACCCAGAACAGACCCCTGCAAGACCCCACTAGATATATTCCATCAGTTTGGCATCGAACTATTGATAATTACTCTATGAGCATGATTATGCATCTTACAGTGACAGCAACTAAAGTTGCTCTTAACTGCACATTACAAGTTACATTAAACTGTGTGACCCATATTAGAATATGTCTCCTGTTACCATAACATCTCCTTACCACTATATTTGATGACACGAATGGTTGAATCTCCCTCCCCAAATCTGGTGATGGGAGTTAGGCGGACTTCATAGGCCTCTGGCTTGATCAGCTCAGTCAGGTTGTATGTAATTAACTCTCCTTTCTGAATGTTTCCGTTTACCGTGATCTCCTGTTCCCACCAACGCTGTTGTCCAGCCTGAAATCAGAAGAATCATGGAAAGATTGGAGCTTTTGGCACAAAACTGCCATCCTTTCATTCTGGAAATGGAGCACAGGGGTCTGCAGAACCGCTGCGCTGCTTGTACATTTCATCATTTGCTTGATTAGCTCTAGATAAGAACACAAAATCGTTCGTAGGCCACCTAACACATAAAAGCCCCATTTTTTATAACTAATGGATCACTTAATTGAGATTGCAGAGATAACTGGCCTTAAAACCACAATTCCTGACCTCTGCAATCTGCGGGCAAATAAGTTATTTCCATTCTCACCTGCCTTTCCTATGCATCAAACTCCTCATTGCAGTCTTTGTTGTAGCACATCTGCTCCTATCAAACGTCACATAACTACAGGTCTTTCAGAGTAACATGAAAGCAACCAAGCATTTTCAGTTTTTCATCTTAAAAAGTTTCTAACACATCAGGGAAAAAACTAAGGGTCAGAGTTTTAAAAGAAATTAGTTGCCTAAAACTGCAGATAGGTGTGTAGATGCTTTTGAAAATCCCACTAGCACCTCTTTGCATCTTTAGGCACCTAGATACCTTTGAAATTCTGGCCTTAAATTCTAGATTCAACTGAGAGAATCAATTAGGTTTAAGAATGTTTAAAATGTGCCCTCTTTTAAATGCTGTTCAGCTGATGCACTCAAAGGTCCCAAATTTGTGAGTACTTATAGTCCTTGATGTCCATTCACAGTGTGGCTGCATCCTGAAAAGAGACTATGTATGAAGGCACCTTTGTGCCTGGTAGACCTGCTCCCAATGTGTATTTAGAATCACACCAGCCAACTGCAGTGAGAAAAGTAAGTGCTTTCGCCTAGAACTGCTTAGACATTTTCTGATGAAACTCAGTTTTGTTGGAAAGTTCCAATCTGATAGAGTCAAATGTTCCGCTGAATCTATTACAGACATGAAAAAACGTTCTGCAAAACACAGGCAAGTTTCCCTGCCTCGCTCCCAGCTCCAGGGGATGGAGTGGAACGAACCAGGTGCTCTGCCTTCTCACTTCCCCCTAAGCTCCAGGGGATGGACAATGCCTCTCCAGCTCCTGGAACTGTGGGGGTGGCATGGAGGTAGAGCGCCTGAGGGCAGCTGAAAATTTCTGTTTCTGGTCTCCTGAAACGGAGTTTTTCCTGAAACCCCTTTCCATGAATATTTTGCCTTTTTAACGCTTTGTCCCTGCTTCAGGATGAAACCTTTATTCAAAAACATGAACATTTTTGAGGAAATGGATTCCCTCTTTTAGGCCAGCTCTCCTTACTCCTTTTCTGCTTGCAGAGCTCTCAGCCATGGCAGAGTGAGCTGAGGTCCACTCCTCCTCGTCAAGGACATTGCTCCTTCAGGCCTAGCCAGGTGCCCCTCTGCATCCCCATTCACGGCAATGAGGTTGCCCATGTGTCACCTGGGGCAGAACTGAAGATAATGAGAAGGTACAGGAGTAACACAGTGCAGTATGGCTCCCAGTGCTTTACCACTTTGTCACTGAGTAAGAAGGGAATCACCCAGCTTGACTCTCAGAGCTCAGACTGAGTTTGCAGAGTCGGCCGTTAGAAGGAAATGTCGTTTAGTTGTACAGTGAGCACATTTGACATGGAAATCATTGAGAGACAATTACATGACCCCAGGATGTCACACTTCACAGTAGAATTACACCATAAGTCAACAGGAGTTGAGGACCCTCGGCACTGCATAGGAACAGACTCCACAATTATTAACAGCCCTAGTCACCTCAGACAGGATGGATGGATTGAAAAGAACAATGAAACGTCAATATGAAGCAAATAAGGAGGAGTTGTGTATATTTACACTTCATAGAGTGTACAGGATTTTCAACATCTAAATCAATAAACTGTCATTTTCAATGCACTTGACCAAGAGATGAAAAATCTAATTAGAGAGAAAGTTTAACAAATACTGAATGCCACATTATTTCCTTCATGCTTTAAGTGGTTTATTAATGACCAAAAACACTCAAAGTGTATGCATTTTGGGTAGCAAAGTTATTGGATATTTCAATATTACCTAAAGATACACTGGCTTATTACAGGTATTCTCTCCAAGCTATCAAGAACAAATCATTAAATATTTACTATACATCCCAAAGGAACTCTGCAGGTCCTATGCTGTTATAATGAGATGTTCTACTCAACTGATTCTGCTTGGCAGGTGCATTGATGTCATTAATTATTACAAACTTGCTATTATAGAACTTCATGTTTATTAAAAACAACACCCCCCTTTTTCCAGATTTTTAATTCAAATCTGTCAGAAAAGGGTATACTGAAATAGTTGGGGAAATAAGCTGCTAACGCATCGCATTTGATGCCAGCAAATGATGCGAAAAGCAAAATTAAAACATTGACTGGAAGGTTTATATCTGCCTCCACGGAAAAGAAAGCAGGACCGGTCTATTATTAAACATACAGCACAAACCCACCTCAGGTAAAAATACGGTTGAGAAGCCAACAAAATGTAAGAATGTTCCAAAGGAAGGATGGGAAGTCATTAGCGTTCTCTGCCTCCATTGAAGACAGTGAGGGTATTACATTAGCTTCCGAGGGAACTGAGGTAGGCCAACGCTGAGCACTTTGGAAAACCTTATGCTAAGGTTCTGACCTTGCTGATGTTTCGGCTTCAGTGGAACTGTTCACGAGTTAAGGTATGCACCTGTGAAATGTGTGTGTGTGGGGGGAGAATAAAAACAATGGTGGTCAATTAAGAAAAAGCTGGAAGGAGGGAGAGCTGGAACGGTTTAAAACAAAGTATACATAAAAGGACCAGTATTGCCTATGAAAGATCAAAGTTCTGCTGTTTATTAAAAATGGTGTGTGTGCAGTATATGGCACTCTATTTGTTAAAATACATCCTCTTACTACAATGCTCTCCACTTAAAAGGTAGCTTTGAAATGGGCCGTGCAGGAGGCTGCTGCAGGAGAAAGATTATTTATGTCATTGCAATACCCAGAAGTCCATTAATACACGATCTGTTCATTCGTGGGGGTCTGTCAGTAGAAACAAGCAGCTAAGGCAGGGTACCGCAGCAAAAGCAGCAATTTCATCGCCGCTTATGACAAACGACTACCGGAGAAAGGCTGGTTTTAAACTGCAGCCGTGAAGAGACATAGTCTAATTATTCCTTTCCTGTGCCTGGATCAGATAGGTAAAAAGGGTATTTCGCACTCAACATTGATTTATTATATATTCCAGTAAGGGCAAACTGGAATTAACCATTATACGGAAACGTCTTTCTCTGCACGTGTAACTTATTTAAGCAGAATGTGGCAATGCAGCTCTTTGTCTGTAATTAGTCTCAGTAGGCAGCTACCGCATTAACGCCACCACACAGAACTTTGCAGAAAAGACTCAAGTTGTCTTGAATTGCCGGGAATTGATCTGAATCAGTCTCTACTTGCTAGGACGGGACCGAGCACGTGCACAGTCATAAAACTGTTGACTTTATGACTGTCAGAGTGGTAGAAAATGAGGAAAATGAGTGGGATTTAGGTCTGGAAAGAATTTAGGGCTGGATGGGACCCGTGCAAACTGTAGTTCGGCAAAGTGGACAGTTCTACAAATTTGTCATTGTTACTGTTTATACTGTCGATTCAAAGCTTACCATAAAAACCTTTGAGTGCACACTGCATAGCCATTCTTCCTCTGTGGTAAGGTATTTAAAATATCGCTCTGATACAGGAGGAAATTACACGTCTGCTCTCCTTGATGTCTTACTTCTAGGCTACCTAAGGGCTACAAAGGCATGCAAATCTCTGACTAGAGGGAGACATGGGAAACAATTATTTAATTGTTTAATTCCATTTTAATTTAAGCAGAGTAAGGTGTAGCATGAACCAATGGCTGAAAGTTGAAGATTGACATATTCTGACTGCAAATAAGGTAAATTTTTGACAGTTAGGGTGATTAACCGTTGGGATAATTTACCAAGGGTCTTGGTGGATTCTCCATCATTGACCATTTTTAAATCAAGATGGAAGTTTTTCTAAAAGATCTGCTGTAGGAATTATTTGGGGGAAGTTCTCTGGCCTGTGTTATCCAGGTGGTCAGACTGGACATCAGAGTGATCCCTTTTGGCCTTGAAATCTATTATATAATTTTAAGCTTGTGACGGTCCCACTCACAAGTGCTGAATGAGGGCTGCTTGCTCAGCAGCTTACAGGTTCGAGCCCTATACAGAAAGTGGTATTAACCTTCCACACTCATGAGCATGGAAATAATAAAAACTTCAATGATCAAATATTAATAAAATGTCAACTAAGGACCAATGGGCCTACGTGTTTGTACAATGCCTAGTATTCTGGGGCTTGGGTCCATGAATGGGATTCCTAGGCCACCACAATAAGTAAATAATTATAACTATATGACAAAATATGTGACATTATATTGTATCTTTAAAAAGATCATATGAGCATCTTTAATACAAAATTACAAATTGACAGATGTCTGCTAGATGTCGGCTCTTCTGGTGTTAGCTACTACATCACCGATGACAGCCAATGAAATGAACTATGAAAGCCAAGGCACTCATTGCATAACAGATATTCAGTCTCTTAACTCTCTCCCCAGTTTGGATCCCCATGAACATAAATATAGCATGAATATCTGATATATTCAAGTTTTGCAGAATGCGTTATTTTGCGATCACACAGCTTACAAAGGAAACATTTGCATACATCAGCATTTATGCCACTCGGAGAATTGTTCCTTCTGTCGTTTGTATTGTACATGTTGTTTTGCCACATGTACCTCTTCTATTCACGGCTCAAACAAACCCTTAATTCAAAAGTATGAATGATCCAGGCTAAATGTGAGTAGGGCAATATGCTGGATAAACTGCACATCACTTATATGCCATGTTGAGTGGGAGGGGCAAGAAAGCAGCACACACCCCTGTAGAACTCAACACCGATTACACTCACGGCTAAATTCCAACCTACATCAAATGCTCATAACATAGGTGATT